AGATGATTGCAGATGATTGCGGGGGTGCACTAACCGGACATAAAACACAACCAACCGGGTGTTCGCGGATATAGCGATGCGGACAAAAGCAGATGTTATCAGATGATATTTTTACCCGCTTTTATCCGGCTTCGACGAAGAATTTATATCCGCAATCATCTGCTTTTATCCGTTTTTTTTTTCGAAGAATTTATATCCGCAATCATCCGTCATTTTCAGCAGGGAATTAATTGGTTGGAATGGGTTTGGCGCCATGAATTACCAATTCATTCCATGTGCATTTCTATTGGGTTTAGTCAATAGAGACAAGCATCAGCATGGATTGGTATTTCCCAATCCAAGCTGCTGACTTCATTGGAAATTACCAATAGGAATTCAACTGGAATGAATTGGTGATTCATAGCGCCAAAACACATTTCAAACCAATTACTTATTTTTTATTGGATTCTCCCAGATAGCACAAGTACGTTCGTAGGACGTTCGTAGGACTTCCACCCAGGACAACCCGAACGTCCTCAGGATGTCCGGGGTCTGCAAAAGTACGTTCGTAGTACGTCCACAGACTTCCGAAATAGACTGTTTCAGATGTCCTCAGGACGTCCGTATTTGACCGTCCACAGACTTCCGAAATAGGATGTCCTCAGGACGTCCGTATTTGACCCCAAGCTGTCCAATTCGGGACATATGAGGACCGAATTAGGACATAGTTTTATTATAATAGGGAAATGTAATACAGTGTTAACAAGTGTTTTGTTAATATATATATATATATATATATATATATATATATACAGGGTGTCCGGGAAAAGGAGGTCAATCCGTTAACCATATATTCCTTAAGTTAAAACAATAAACCTTTCATAATACTATTTTTATTTATTTCTCCATTGAATTTCACATACCTTCATATCTCTAAATTATTTAAAAATATCAAGTGAAAACTTAAATTTTGTAGGGGTTTTTCCATATAATAAAAGTTGTTTTCACTTATATCATATATTTAAATACACAGAAATTTAACTAAACAGGGAGCTAACTAAAAACAGCACACGCTGTTTTATGAACAATGCCAACATGGCGGATTTCAGACTGCCAACTTAAAGTCACTAAACTGGTTACTTCCAATACCAACTGTTTATTTGGCGGTAAATTTGAAATAAACTCTTACAATTTATTGCATTAAAAATATTATAGGACAAATTAAATAATTTAAATGTTAAAGTGGAGAAATTTCTCCAATGGTATTTTTAATTCGTATTATACATTTCTCATATAATATTATTAATTCAAATTATTAATTTGGCCAATGTGATATTTTTTATTCAACAAATTAAAAATATAATATACCTAATATATATAATATAATTAAAAATAATTTTTTAAAATTTGTAATGATATTTTTAATGCAATGAATTAATTAATTTTACTAGATATTTTTAAATAAGTTAGAGATATGGAAAATTGCAATTGCTAAAAATACTTGACAACTAAAGACACAATTCCACTTAAGTGGATAAAGGGTCTATCTATAGACATATAAGTGAAAAAAAATTGACAACTTTTTTTAAAAATCTTTTATCGTGCTTGATTAAGGAGTATTTTTAATAAAAAACAAGGTGTAATTTTTTTTCACTTAGACCCGGGTCGCGACCAGAAAACCGATGGACGTCCTGAGGCCTAGGCCTATGGACGTCCTAAGGCCTAGGCCGATGGACATCCTGAGTACGTCCATCGGTTTTTTTGCCTGCGACAATAGTTGAAGATACAAATTGATATATCACCTTTTATAAAGGCCTTTATAAAGGGTGATATATCAACTTGTATCTTCAACTATTGTCGCAGGCAAAAAACCGATGGACGTACTCAGGATGTCCATCGGCCTAGGCCTTAGGACGTCCATAGGCCTAGGCCTCAGGACGTCCATCGGTTTTCTGGTCGCGACCGTCTGTAAAGGATTTAAACCGGATGTCCTCAGGACATCTTGTGCTATCTGGGCTATTGGTCATTTACAATAGGGAAATTTGTCAAATCCACTTCTATCTAAGTATGTTATTTACGTAGGTACCTACACCTTAAGATAGGATTGTGCGCATGTTGGGCGGGGCTTAAATACGTCACTTGTTGAGTATTTTTAAATCTTTGTTTAAATTCTTGTTTTTGCGATGCTGTTGGATGTTAACTTGCTCTATTTTTTTGTTTAACTTGTTGTTTTTGCGTTTAGTAAGGTTCGAATTACTTTTCAGTGTTCAAAATATTGTTATTGCGTTGTGTTAACCTGTTCTGTTTGTTTATTATTGTTTTTGTGTTGCGTTAACTTGTTTTGTTTGTGTTTTAGTTTGTATCGTGCCATTTGCATTTGGGTCAGAATTTCTCAAACGGGCCACCTGAATTAGGTCAAAATTAGTTTTTGACCTAATTCAGGTAATAATAATATTCAGGTAATAATTATTTCTGATTTTAATACAAAAAAACAAGCTTTAAGTCAATTATTACGGTCACAAATTAATTTTGATTAGAAAAGTAGGTACCATTCCACACCACCGTACGTAAGACGTCGCGTCACAAGGGCGTACAGCGTACACGGTTCGGAGCGTGAGCGGCCACCGCGGTGCACCCACAAAAGGACGAATAACTTTTTGTCAACTTGCGGGCCATTTTTTTTCTCAGCAGCATAATTTCGAGAAATGATTGGAGTATATGTGTTTTTTTTTCGAGTCGATAGCTGGCGCAGAAGCCAATTATTTCCGAATTTGGTATAAAAAAAAACAAAAAAAAAATCGACCTAAATGAAAATTGGACAATTGAAAAAAATAAAAAAGAATCTATGTCAAAACAAGATTCCAACGCTAGTTATATCGTTGGTATCGGATAATTAGTTCAGCCAAAATGATTTTTTTTATTTTTTTATTATTAAAATCTTTGACTTTTAATATCATGAATATGTCAATTGTAATTTTTTTTTTTACAAAATCCTTTAGGATTTGTGTTAGTGATGTAAAATACTATAGAAAAAATGTATCTACAAACAAAAACTAATTTTGACCTAATTCAGGTGGCCCGTTTGAGAAATTCTGACCCATTTATTAAAATGCGGTGTGGCATATTTGGATGCAATTCGGACAACCAGTTCAAGAAAAACCCTTTAAATAAAAACGTTAAATTTCATCGATTCCCGAAACACTTTGATTTGTGCAAACATTGGTTAAATGCCACAAAAAGAATAGACAATATTAACGTTAAGACCGCTTCTGTTTCCTCTAAACATTTTCTGGATAGTGACTATAAGTTTAATTTAAACTCTTAAACTACAGTCCTAAATGTTATCAAAGACTGAAAGCATCTATTATCTATATAATAACACTTTTTTCAATATTAAGTTTAATAAAAATGCACTATGTCCAGATATTTCTCTATTTTCTTTGATAGTATTACTATTATTCGTGTATTCGCACGGCAACTACTCAAGTGACGTCATGCGCGGCAAGAACCAAAAGTCGTCCACGGGAGCATCCAGCCCTGATTATAGATATCTATTTTTTGCAGAAACATTTACTTTGCACTGAATGAAGCTAGAGTTATATTTAGTTTTTGCTTCAATTAGAAAACTCTAAGTAAATTACATAGAACTTGATTCATATCATTATGGTACCTTCGGTCATCTATGCGACAGAGTGAAGGTACCAATGGAGGGGCTGCGGATCAAATACACTTAAATTTAAGTGCCAATAAGACTATAGAGATGGCGCTGGTACAAAAATAAAAAGATAAATTAAAAAATGGTTACAAAAAAACATTTTTAAAAACTTTACCAAATTTGCCATTGTGGTACTTCAATTTTGTTCACCTTCAAAGAAACAATATTGTTCTAATAGATACCTATAGGTATATATTATAGTATATATATATATATATATATATAATAGTATATTGATAACCTATAGGGAGCAATGTGATTTTATACATTTATATTTTACCTACTTATTATTTATTTAATGAGTCAGGGAAGATTTTGAATATTTATGGAAATAATACATAAATTTATTGACATTCTTTTATTGTTTATGAGATATGTTAGAATGATGTTACTTTTGTTAATATGGTATAACTAAAAATTTAAACAAAATCATACAGAAATCTTATTGTTATTTTTATAACATCAACTCTTATAGTTAATGCACATAATCTGTGTTAAAAAAACTAACATTATCTACAAAAAATAAATAACAGGAAATATAATTTAACATTCAAACAACATTTTAACAATAAAGTATTAGGTATAAATATATATAAAAAATTATGGCTCACTTTAGTGCAAAAGACAAAAACTCAAATTGTTAACAAAGTGGTTAATACGACTTGAAGGGCCAAAAGCAGCTGTGCTGTTTTCTACCAACAATTTTTATAACAAATCCATAAAATTTAACATTAACAAAATAAAAAAAAATATTTACGTGTACCTACTTAACATTGGTAACTATAAATTAAATTTGTTAAATGGTTATACAATGCTTTTCTTGTACTCATTCTGACTAGTCAACAAAGTACTTCTTTCCCAAGTAAAAACAAATTATGTATATGGACAGATAAATTTATGATTGAATATTCCTTAGATTACAAGCCCGCAAAAGACTTATTGATATATAATATCACATACTTAAACTATTAAACAACTTCAGACTTTATATATTTGCGACTTAATACATATTTGGTCGTGTTTAATTAAATGAAAAAATGATATAAAGATTAAATGACTAGAAAATAATAAAAAGGTCTGGAGAATATTTGGTTTAACGTTTTCTATATTGCTTAAGTTAAAGTTAACATTGCCTTAAATAAAGATTTACCCAATTTACATGAGTAGCATGAATTTCCTGCATACATAAATGAATTGAAATTTTTGATGTTCTGCTCTTTTGAATTGGTTAATGAATCTCAAAATTATTAAACAATCGCATAAAATAAATTTAAAAAATAAATAAATCGACACCAGTCAGTTTTTCCTAAGGCGAAAATACCCGTAGACTTCGCAATAAAGTCGCCAAAACATTGGCCAGTGATTCTGCCTGGGCAGCCAGGTGTTCTTCAATTGATTTTTGAGAACTTCTGTCGATATTCGAGGTAATAAGATGACGAAAGGCGGCGGTCACGTCGTGCACTTTCAAAATCAAATTCCTGGTTTGCAGGGGAGCGGTGGTGTGGCTTGTAAGATCTTGACACAGTTCGGTCAGCCTGCGCAAAATTGTCAGACATATGGCCAAATTCTCCGGCAAGTCGGGTAGACTGGGATCCGACATGGCGATTACTAACATTTTGCTGGAAGTCACCAGTTGGAGGGATTGTGAAGTTAGTTCTTCTTTAGCAATCTAGAGTTCAAAATAAAAATCAAATGTTACATCTATAAAAAAAATTGAAGATTTATTATTTTATCAACTTGAGCTTTATAATTTAATTAAACAGTCGTTAAATATTTATTATTTTTTTTTCTATAAATTGATGAAAGGTTGACAATATCAAATATAACATACATTTTTTTCACCATGTTTTAATGAAGTTTATTATAGGTAGGTCGTTTCTAAAATTAAGTAAATGCAACGAGAAATTAAAAAGTTTTATTATATTTTATCACACCCAATTTTTTTCAATTTCGGAGGTGTTTTGACGTTTTTGAGTATAGCTTGAAATCTACTTGATCGATTTGGTCAAACAAGCCCTTAAATTGAAGGTATATATTTGAGCCCTCTAAAACTTTCTTTTACAAACTGTTGATATATAATAAGTATTTTGACGCTAACGATTTTAATACCTTAAAAAATTCGTTTTTATGGCAAACATTGAGGTCGAAATTTTACATATCGTCCTGGGAAAGGTTTAAATCAAACAGATAACTCCAGTTTGAATTTTTTTTCGCGAAGCTGACATTTTTACAAAAAAAAACAAGCTAATGTTGATAAATGAGGAGCATCCGTGCAAAACCGGCTAAATCCATTTTATTCAGTTTTTGTTTTTTTTTTTTTGATTTCGCATCTTTGGGTTCATTTCTATCGACAACCAAGATAATTCTATTTAAATCAGACTATATCCATGTTAAAATCACATTTAAAAGGTAGCTTTAGGAGCAAAACCGGCCAAATCCACGTTTTTATAGCAAACCCGGCTATATCCAATAAATAATAATGATGATGAGCATGTGGCTTGGATATGTCGATACTACTAGGTACTATACGAGGATGGTTCGGAAACTACGTGGCCTAACACATAAATGGCGCGAATTTGGAAGAATCTTCTTTACCATTTTATTAAATCATCTTTTAATAGGTTAAATATAATACTACAAAGTGATCTGTCAATTAGTCTGTTTTTGACAGTACGCCAAAGTGAACGTCTCGTGTAATTTTGTAAACAATGGAAAAATTGAATTGCAAGCACTGATAAAGTACTTCAATTTAAAAGGCTTAACACCAACCGAAATTAAAGCAGAGCTGGATTTAACAATATTTGAGTCCGCTTCTTCGTTTTTAATGGTTAAAAACTGGGTTGCCGAATTTAAACGTGATCGTACGAGTACAAATGATGAACCCCGTAGTGGACGTCCAAAAACGGCTACTCTCCCGGATATTATTGAAAAAGTGCACCATATCCTATTGAATGACCGTCGAGTAAAAGTGCGCAAGATAGCAGCATAATGGGTATCTTAAACGACAGTGTGCACAGAATTTTAACCGAAGAATTGGAAATGAAAAAATACTTGGCGCGTTGGGTGCCGCGATTGCTTGCACCGCGGTGCACCGGAGCAAAAACTGAATCGTTTGAGTGTGTCTCGCGACCTTTTGAGACATTTTCGCCACGATCCAAAGGAGTTTTTGCGTCGTTTCATAACCGTCTATGAAACCTGGGTCCACCACTGTACTCCCCAAAACCAAATAACAGTCCAAACAATGCTTTATATAGCTATTTCGAGGACTTGGATTCATCGGCCTACAAGGAAGGCATTGCTAATTTAGAATATCATTGGGATAAGTGTGTTAAGGGAGCTGGAGACTAAATTGAAAAATAAATTTTTTTTTGCCCAAAAAAATTTGCGTTTTCTTAGTTAGGCCACGTAGTTACCGAACGATCCTCGTATTTGTTCTGTTTTTTCATGTTTGCAGTAAATTTATTTTGTTAATATTTTTGAATAATAAAGGTTTTTTTTAACATTTTATTCGTTTTTTATTCGGTTTTGAGCAAAACCGGCTATATACAAAATATTTTTTGAACTTTTGGCCTTAATGTAAAGTTTTTGAAAACGAAAGTATGTCTTATAAATCAAGTACCACAAAGCCCACAAAACTCAAGTTTGCTTTTTCTTTTATCTGTAAAGGCCAGGAAACCGAGAGTTTTTGTCATTTTCCCAACATTCTATTAGAGTGGATATAGCCGGTTTTGCACGGATGCTCCTCAAATATACATGGAAAAATGGCGAAGTTATGAATCTTTTAGTGGAAGACCAAAATTTAGCTTTTTGACGATTTTTATTTTATTTTTTTTCTTTTATTTTGTAATATGTTTATTCCACCAAAATTATTCAAAATTTAAATTTGACGCAAACGTGAATCCTTTTGTTTCTCGTGTTGGCATAGTGACATTTAACTGATATTTTTGATATTTCAACAAGGTATTTTTATCATGGTTTTATTTAGGTAATAAAAAGTGTAAAATGAGTAAAAGAAGTAGAGAGTTCGGGTGCGTAAATAACCCGCACAATCTGGGCGACGTAAGTGATGAGCATGGAAAACGTTTTTACCAGCAAATGAAGGCTATGGAGCGGCGGTATCATGGCTTCTGGGATCCAGCCATGATGGGTGATTACATTTGGTCCCTCATACGAGAAACGGAATACGAAAGCAACAAAAAAACAAAGAAGGAACCAAAGTTTTTTTAAACCTATATTATATAATATATATACAAAATAAAACTTTCAATTTCTTCAATGTTCAATGTTTATTGTTTAATATTCAATAAATAATTTAATTTCAATATTTATTGTTTAAAATAAAAATCAATGTTCAATATTAAATTTTAAATAATTCAATAAAATGAAGAAAAAACGTAAAAATTCTCGAAAAAGTGAATTTTGGTCTTTCACTGAAAAATTTATAACTTCGCCATTTATTCATGGATTTTTATAAACAGCAGCTTATTTTTTTCCTTTAAGTATAATCTATACGTAAATTAAATCAAACTGAAATTATCTTTTCGATTTCTATCTTTCCCATAAAGATATGTAAATTTTCGACCTCGATTTTTGTAAAAAAAAAAGGACTTTTTCAACTTCATAAAATCGCCAGCATCGAACTACTGAGCCCTATACAAGAGAAATTTGTAGAGGGCTCAATTACCTTTGATTTAAGTGCTTGTTTGGTCAAATCAATCAATTAGGACTCGAAGTATACTCTAAAACGTCAAAACACCTCAGAAAATTAAAAAAAAAACAATTGAAAATTCATATCTCGAAAACGCTTCCATGAAAAAAATTTTAAGTGTGATTTTCGCGTTTAGTGAGCCAAACTACATAAAATCATAGTGAGACATGGTGTGCAAAATGGCTATAAACTAGTGTAATTTGAGAGTCAATAAAAAACGGTAAAAAAATATAAATTTTATAATAATCTTATAAATATATAAACTATATAAAACGTGTTTATTTGTTGTTGATTAAAACTCCAAATACACTTATACAATCAGGTACTATTAATATTTATATGCGTGTACATTTACAAAATCACATATGTCCAACTTTGTTATCTATGGTGGAAACTTTCCAGTGGAAAGTGACAGTCTTCAACTTTAAAGTAAAGAATGTAAAAACCAAAGAAAAAGATAAGAACGTATTTTTTGGGTTATAATACACCATACGCAGTGTTGCCCACAGGGTTAACCCTGTGAAGTCAGAAAAAAGACTTCTTGCGGAGCTCGTTTTACGAAGTCTAAAAAAATGAGGTCGTGAAGACGTCATAATTGGACTTCTTAAAGACGTCTTTATAAATAATCACAAAGACTTCTTCAGGAAGTCTTTCTGACTTGTATGCTGTCTGGGAAGCCGGGCGGATTCAAATTTGCACTGTTAGTCTGACGTATCGATGAAGGCGGGGGTGTGCGGCGTGCGGGCGGAATATACCTGTTTCAGTAGGAGTCAGCCATCATAATCGTGCGAAATAGTAAGATGCCCCTCAGCGCGTTGCCGATTTGCGCGTTTTTAGGAAGGTCAGTTAGTCAAAAATCTCGCCGGTCGTCGTGTCCCGGACAACATTCGTGATATTCATACAAACATCACGTCGTGATTTTCACAAATTTTATTCATACTGATATCATACGGAAGTCACCGCGTGATAAATGAAAATCATACGAATGTCACTACGTGAGAAATGAAAATCATGTGATTTTTTATGCCATCGCTGTTTGCGATTGACCGATGGCAGAAAAAATCATGTCGTGATTTTTTTATGCCCTCAGTGTTTTCATAATCATTTTTGCGCCACGTTTGTACACTAAAAGAAAAATTATGTTGAATCAACAGTTTTTGCGGTTAAATACATTTAATATTTCCTTGGATTTAAATTAACTATATATAGTTAATTTAAATCAACCCAACCGCAAAAACTGTTAATTCAATTGTTAACATACATTTTCTCACAATGTACGAATGTGGCGCAAAAATAAATATCCGAACATGTCGGTGCACCGATGGCATAAAAAATCATGTCGTGATTTTTTATGCCCAAACACCGATAGCATAAAAAATCATGAGTTGATTTTTTATGCCATCCGTGTTTGGATATTTATTTTGCGCCACATTCGTACATTGAGAGAAAAAGTAAACGGCCATTTCACGCGTAACGGATGGGACACATTGTTCTATTACTACAATATAGTAGTTTTCGAATAAAAAAGTTAATTTTTAAGGAATTAAACAGACAACCACGATACCTAATTTTGCCAAATAAAAACCTTGTTAAACAACTTTTATTTAGAACTATTTATGAAAATTAGTAATATGATAGAACAATATTATTTTGTAAATAAAACTTGCAACTGTCCCATCCGTTACGCGTGGAATGGAATATCTTTTTTAATTGGACCCGGACAACATTCGTGAAATTCAAACAACATTTTATAAATTATAACGGTGTAATGTGAATAACAAACTAGGTTTTAAATTCGCAGTTCGCAGGGCTCATACGCATGCGCAAATTTTGCAAATATCACACCGTGAGTTCTACATGATATCACTGTGATGAAGCATGTGTATGCACTCAGGATATCACAGCGTGATAAAAATATCACGTTGTGATATCATCATGACTTCACCAGGAAATCCCGATTGTTGTTCGGGGTGGTATTGTTTTCTGTTATTTTTAAAATGGATATAAATACCATAGATTATATATATAAGTAATATATATATATATATATATATATATATATATATATATATATATATATGTATATATGTAATTATAATTACTTGTGTTAATTTTATCCACTTTTTGCATACGTACATTATGTATGATACATACATGTATATAAATTTCTGTCCCCCAGTTTAATATGTCACTAGCCGCCACTGCTATAATAAGTGGTGTACTATCTATTTTTAGAGAAAGAAGGTACGTCAATTTTCTAATGTTTTCTTAGATTTTTAAAATAGGCAGTCGGTTTATGAATTAATCTTTTAACAGTATACTGTATAAATTCGTAAATATATTTCCCATGTGCCGTCAAGTTTTAGTCACCCAGACAGCAATATGACGTCTTAATTAAGTCTGCATAAGTTCTATTTTATGATTTGGACGTCAAATACAACATCAGAAAAAAGTTTTTAAGAAGTTCTTAAGACTTCGAATGCGCCACCTATTGAACTAATCAAGACTTCTCAAAAAAGAACTCTTGAGGAACCCTTTTCTTTGACTTCGCAATTAAGCATTTTAAAGAGTCCTACTGTATAAACTTATAAAAAGACTTCTTTAGAATTTTCCGTTTGGATATAGAAGTACTACTAGGGTACTGATGAAGAAATTGCATACTGGATCGTTGCTTATTTTGACATGTCAAGTTTATTTTATTAATTTTATTAATTTGTTAAATTGATTTTATTAAAATCATTTTAATAATTTGCTCGTATTCGCTTATTTTAGGAATTGCGATTACTTCGTCTAACTTTTGTTTAAATTCAAGCGTGCTCTTCACCGGCACCGATAGACGGCCTGTTTCGCTCTTTTGGAGCTCGTCAGTATCGGGTAGCCGTTTACCTAGGTCTAAGACCGTTTGGTATGGAGCACGCTCTAAATTCTACTTCGCCGCTTCTTATATCAAACACAAGCAGTTACAGCGGTGAGAAGAAAGTAATCGCATTAAAATGTCATAAATGTGACGTCTCCATGTTGACTTGTAAAAGAGTTAAAAGTATGATTTCAATTGGAAGTAAGAAAAAAGAATACTCTGTAAGCTCAAAATAAATTGTTCAAAAAGAGGTCAAGAAAAGATCTTCATTTGTACGTAAAAAAAAATGACTTCTTATTTATGAGTTCATTAACAGCTCAGAATTCTGATCTCATAAAAAGGAGCTGTTTAAGACGTCATGTTAGAACTTCTACACGAAGTTATTTAAAAGACTTCATACTGAAATATTTCTGAATTGGATGCTGAATGGGCATTTTATACAACAAAAAGTTAGCAAATAATCGAATTATTTTTTTTTATTTTTAAAATTAACAGTTGATTTAAGAAAATGTTAAATGTAAAATTTTTTTAAATTTATAGCAATAAAACAAGAATGTTTATTTTGAAATAAACAAAATCAAAAATAACATAAAAAAATATTTAACAGAAAAAACAATTAAAAATAAAACTACAACAAATTATTTTAGAACAGAAACCTAAATTTAAATAGTTGGATGAGTGGCTTGAAATGTTTACCACAAACAAACAAAAAATGATACAATTTATTTGCAGTGAATTGGAATTGCAATTTTACCCCCATAGTAGTATGAAAACGAATTTAATTAACTATAGTACCTAATAAAAAACAATACCAATCCAATATTTGTTTGGGAGAAATTATTTTTTTTAACATATGCAACTTCAACACCTTGTTTTTCTAAAACTGTTGACATTTTGATATAAGTTTATTAAGAAATTTAATATTATTTTAACGTTTTTTATTGATTCTCAAATTATTAAAGGTTCCTTTTGGACCATCCTGTATATTGACTTTATTTTATAACTAATACTTTTTATTTTAATACATGCAAATTATATGATAAAATACGCGATGAGCTCCAAGAAAACGAACCTTAGGTCCAAAAATAAAATTTTACTAGAGGCGATTGAATCTCGCGCAGCATATATGCGTTTGTGTAGTAACCCTTGACTTCGGAAATTCGTGGCAATGTCAATTTTTGAAATAAACACTTTAAAACTGTTGAAAGATCGTGTATCAATCTACCTAAAACAATCATATTCTCAAAAATAATTTTTTGCACCAAGGTTTGTTTTCTCGAAGCGGGTCACATATTTTATAATTTTTTAAATACCAAGTGCTTTTTTATTTATTTTGAGTAGTCTAAACAAGATTATTAAATATTAGTATTATTTTAGAAAAGTGTGATATTTGATTTTAAAATGGGACTGTAGAATTTGAAATTATTTCTTAACTTTTTTGTTAAGCAATTTAAAACAAATATTGCATTTACCTGAAACTTCTCCTCACTTATCAGCCTTCCACCTCCATGCACTTGGGCCACACTGCACTGAGCAGCAACCTGATCAAGTCGCAGTAGCAGATTGGCCATCGCCACATCGGTTTTCGCCAACAAATTTTCTCTTGTCGAAACAAAGCCATTCTTAACTGGAGAACCGTTTCTTAAATGATTTTCCTGTTCTTTAAATTTGAAATGATTCACGGCCCCATCCCCATTACTCTGGGCGTAAATTGTGGATCTGGGCAAAGGTACAGGAGCCATTTTAATTTCTTGAGTATTTCTTGGGCCGTCCGGGGAGTCGATCGGTATTGCAATTAATTGGGCCCCCCTTCCTAAAACAGGCAAATTTAAAAGTAAACGCCAAAGTAAAATAAAACAGGGCAAAAATAAAGTAAAAATTAAGATAAGCAATTTTTTATTCTGCACGTAGCAATTGCTTATTTTAATAAGGAATTTTACTGATAATTTAAATTATCAGTAAAATGCCTTTACGTAATTAACGGATGCCCCTTTGCGTACATATAATAAAGTTTTTATTGAGCAATCAAATAATTCAAGCTAATAAAGCAACATTAAGCCAATATTAACTTTATGTCAATATTATATATATAACTAAAGCGTTATTTTTATTGGATTATTCTGTGTACCTATAGTTTTATGCTGATTGGCTTAATTGATACTTGTCTGTACGGGTTGATTTTATTTATATTTGCTACATTTAAGGGTTTTGGCTTGTATGTTTTAAGCGGTCTAGATCCGATACGAACGCGACTGACTAAGTGTAAAACACTTAAATATAGCAAATTTAAATAATAATAAAATATAGTCATAAAGTGAAAAAAAAACCATAGTGTAACAACTACAGAGATTAAAGACCACCCTGCTTAAAATACCCCATAGAGTCACTGAGAAAAAATGGGAAAAATAAACTGTGTAGCTAATACTTTTTATTATTTCCCTCATTATAATATGAACCAATCCAAAGCCTTGAATTTTCGAATAAATTTCGTTTAAATAAGCGATTAAATCACTAGAACTATTTAACAGCGATTAAATTTTAGCCTCCATATTGGATTTTTGTTTACGATTTTATGGTGTTATTTACAAGTTTTAACAAACATTTTTTAAAAAACAATAAAAAATAAGTTATCTAGTTTACGAAATATCAATTATTACTTATTACATACCTTAAATTAATGGAATTTTCTTTAAAAAAATATTTATAAATTTTGACACATAGGTACGTCAGATTTTATGAATTGTCAAATAGTTTCCTTTAATTCGAGAAATAATCATATATTATATCACGAGAACTATGAATTCCCTTACGGAAAAACACTGTTCAACAGTATTAAACACTATTAAACACTGTACAACACTACTGACGATTTTAATAATGTGCCAACAGTGTTAACGACTTGTACCATAGTGTTGCACTAGTGTTGTTGTAATGTTGCACAGTGATAAAGAGTGTTGCATAGTGTTCATGGTGTTCCAACAATGTTAACGACTTGCCCATAGTGTTAAAGTGATTAATGTTGCTGTAATAAGCAGTTTTGTGTAGTGTTCATATAAATATAAGTGTTTATCTGATAAATTTAAGTTTCAACTGAAAATTAGAATTTCCAATTAATTTTAATTAAATAACTAAATTAAAAAATATTTTTGAACCTTATCAATTAAAAAAAATGCTAAAAAAGCACCAAAAAATGCAGAATTCTACTGTTTAAACTTTTTTTTTAATTAATATTAAAAAAAAATTAATTTAATAATTAGATAAAAATTTATTGTAAATTTTAATTTACAATTGGAACTTAAATTTACCAGATAAAACATAATTGTGCGAACTTTTCGTAATTAATTTTCAATGTAAACTTAAATTAAATTATAATTTTCAAATTATAATAAAACACTGTCGACTGAAATATTTCATTCCGCAGTGATAAATAGCTTTATCGCTTTATAGCTTTATCGAGATCTCCACGCGGTCTATAATTTAAACTTTATTATTGTCAACATTCGATAAAGAAATAACTTGTTATGGCCTAGGCCGATAAAAATTTTTATGAGGCAAGTAATTACCTAGTTCGATTTTTTCTCGCTAGGGGTATTGTTTTGACAAATTAATCCTTTTCTAAGAAATTAACGTACTAAACTGGTTTAATTTATTTATAATAAGCACTAATTTGTTTGTTTTACTGTTAATGTTTATTATTTTTCATTAAATTATTGTAAAATTAAATATGAATAATAAAACAAAAAGTGAGGTTAGGACATTGCAATTTGACGTTTCTGTGTATTTCACAGTTGTGTTTTCTTTTTCTACGATTTAAATTATCTTTAAGTTTTAATTTGCTTTAAGTTTTCAGTGAAATTAAATGTTAAACACAGCGTAAACATTCTAAACTACCTATTTTTTAATAAAAATGCAAACAAATTGAAATTAGATACCTATTTATTAAACAATTAATTGAATTCAATGTAATAGCAAGAGGGTAAGTAAACCATTTTCTTACAAAAATCCATTTCTACTTAAATTATGTAGCTAGGTATTGTCAAACTATTACTGCTTCTAAAAGGAATAATAATTATTGTACATTTAATGTAATCTTTAGGTAATAAATAAATTCTAAAAAAGTTAGGTTAGGCCGCTTTCATGTTGAATTAAATTGACCTATATAAAGTGCTTTGAAGATAAAATGTTGTATGCCATTCGGCCAAGAAGTGTCTTTTTGTGCTTCGCTCAATTGTAGGCCTCCGCTACGCGTCGGCCTTCAAACTTTGAGCTTAGCACAAAAAGCCTTACTTCTTAACCTAATGACATAAATAACTATTAGACCTATCCCATGAATTGGATTTTTTGGATAGGGGGTGCGTTAAAAAGGGCGACAGTCTCTTTCTTCATTAGAATTCTAATAAAAAAGACTGCCGCGTTTTTTCACGCACGCGCTATCCAAAAAATCCGATTTATGGGCTAGGTCTATTAACACTGCAACACTAATCACACTATACAACAATAGTCACACTAAACAACACTGGTCACACTAAACAACACTGGCCACACTAAACAACACTGGTCACACTATGTAACACTTTTAACGAAAACATTATTCAAAAGTAGTGTTGCATAATGTTGTGCAGTGTTAACAGTGTTTTTCCGTAAGGGTTTAATCGGTTAAACTAGGCTCAGTAGTTTTTTGTTTGGTTTTTCTTGGAAAATGTTGAATGCTAAATAATTTAATAAAATCACGAGACCGCGTAGCGGTCGAGGGGTTTTATTTTTAATTATTTTGCATGAAACTATTTTCCAAAAAGAATAATCAAATAAAAAACTTACTGAGCATAGTTTTACAGATTAAATTTATAGGTTGAGTGATATACGTCTAGATTATTTCTCGAATTAAAGGAAACTATTTGACAATTAATAAAATCTGACGTATGTGTCAAAATTTATAAATATTTTTTTAAAGAAAATTCTATTAATTTAAGGTATGTAATAAGTAGGTAATAATTGATATTTTGTAAACTAGATAACTTATTTTTTATTGTTTTAAAAAAAATGTTTGTTAAAACTTGTAAATAACACCATAAAATCGTAAACAAAAATCCAATATGGAGGCTAAAATTTAATCGCTGTTAAATAGTTCTAGTGATTTAATCGCTTATTTAAACGAAATTTATTCGAAAATTCAAGGCTTTTGATTGGTTCATATTATAATGAGGGAAATAATCTAGACGTATATCACTCAACCTATAAATTTAATCTGCCAATAAACTATGCTCAGTAAGTTTTTTATTTTATTTTTCTTTTTGGAAAACTCAAGACATAGTTAAAAAATCTATGTGGTGGTAATAAATAAATATATGTATTTATTAGGGTGTGCCAAAAAAAACTCGATATTTTTTTTTTCTTGCTCTCCACCCAAAATATCGTAGAGTGTCCAAACAAATATTCTGTTAAAAGCGGAGCTCATAATTTCAATTTTAAGAGGTCCCTCATCCAATCTGAAGTTTTGCCGCTTAAATAACACAGAAAACTGACTTTTTTACCTTATTTATTCTTGCAACCTAGGAAGAATTTTTTTTTTCATAAAATCCATGACTAATTCTTACAAAGCATTAAATTTGGACACAAAAATCTTATTAAACCGAATTTCTATTTTCATTATTTGATTTTTTCCAGAGCTTTAAATTTAAAGTTAATAATACAAAAATGATGACTTTATACGCCTGTAACTTTTAGAATATTGACGATACAAAAAATTCGCCTAAAACTTTTTTGTGGTCCATCAGACAAGCTAAAAAATTGCCATTTAACTTTTTCGTCTAACTTCAATAGTTTAGCTGAAAAAGGCAAAAAACGTAAAATTTTAAATTTAAAGCTCTGTAAAAAATCAAATAATGAAAATAGAAATTCGGCTTAATAAGTTTTTTTCGTCCAAATTTAATGCTTTGTAAGATTTGGTCATGGATTTTATGAAAAAAAAATTTCTTCCTAGGTTGCAAGAATAAATAAGGTAAAAAAGACAGTTTTCTGTGCTATTTAAGCGGCAAAACTTCAGATTCGATGAGGGACCTCTTAAAATTGAAATTATGAGCTCCGCTTTTCACAGAATATTTGTTTGGACATATTCTACGATATTTTGGGTGGAGAGCAAGAAAAAAAAAATATCGAGTTTTTTTGGCACACCCTAGTATATATATGTATATGTATATGTCCTCAGAAAAAGAAGCATGTTCTAAAGTATTCCTGGTTGCAGTGTGTACCGATCGCGGCAAAGGCGGTGTGGATCACGTAGAGATTCAAAATTTCCGGAAAAATTGAGTGTCGGAAAAAAACCCTGTTTTTTTCCTGGAAAAATTGGAAAAAAACGGAAATTTTGGGAAAAATTGATATTTTCTTAAAAACAAAAAAAAATGTTTAAAAATATTTTAAATATTTTTTATAATATTTATAAATTATTTTGATTAAAAAATTCCCGTTATGTATAGGCGCCCCCCGGGGAGGCACCTGTAGGGTCATGCTTTTTAACGATGAAAAAACCCTAGTTGCCGACGGCCGTAATTCACATTAAAATCATTGTTGTATAGGTAACTATTCAAAATACACTAACCCAGGCGTTAGTAGCATATTCAATGATTTTAACATCACAATGGCAACCCTGCCCGATCAGCTGATTAGGAACCGACACGTCGGACCGATCGTCGTTCGTTTACAGCGTTAAGGCCGTATTACAGCCGGCAATTCTTTCGGCAATTGCAATGAAACTTGCCATAGGCATGCGCGGTTGAGACCTTTCGACGAATCTCTTGCAATTGCCGAAAATCGGTC